TTTCATCTCATATATACATATATATAAAAAGAAAAGAATAAAAAATTTCCTTGTGATGAGAGAAGATTTACTCTAACAGCTTTCCTATATATCGTACAGCAGTTTTAAGTGTAGTCATCATATTGTGCTTCACATCTCCACTACTTCTCTGTCTTATAACTGGAAATGCGTACCTTTCAATTTCCTTCCTCCAGTTTCCCATCCCCCCTACCCCTGTCTCTGGTAACCACAAATCTGATATTTCTTCTATGTGTTTTTTAGGTTTCACATATAAATGAGGTCATTCAGCATTTGTCTTTCTCTGATTTATTTCACTTAGAACAATGACTTCAAGGTCCATCCATGTTGCAAATGGTAGGATTTTCTCATTTTTTTAATGGGTGAATAATATTTCATTGTACATACATACACAACTTACTTATCCATTCATCCGTTAATGGTCACTTTGTTTTTCCATATCCGGGCTGTTATAAATAATGCTGTTATGACTGTGGGGGTGCAGATATCTTTTTGAGTAGTGTTTTGTTTCCTTTGGGTATATTCCCAAAATTGGAATCGCTGGATCACATAGTACTTTTATTTTAATTTTTTGAGGACCCTCCATACTGTTTTTCATAGTTCTGCCAATTTACAATCCCATCAACAGTGCATAAGGGTTCCCTTTCTCCACATCCACGCCAGCATTTATCATCTTTTGTCTTTTTGATGATGACCATTCTAACAGGCATGGGGTGATATCTCATTGTGGTTTAGTTAGGATTTTCCTAATGGCTTGTGGTGTTGAACATTTTTCATGTACCTATTGGCCAATCGTATATTTTCTTTGGAAAAAAATGTCTATTCAGACTCCTTCCTCATTTTCTAATTGGATTATTTATTTATTTTTGCTATTGAGTTGCAGTTCTTTATATATTTTGCATATTAAACCCTTATCACATATATGATTTGCAAATATTTGTTTCCCATTCCTTATTTTTTGTCCACGTCATTGATAGTTTTTTTATTTTTTTCTGTGCAGAAGCTTTTTAGTTTTATGTGGTCTCATTTGTTTATTTTTAATTTTGTTGCTTGTGCTTTAGGTGTGATTTCCAAAAAATCATTACCAAGGCCCATGTCAAGGAGCTTTATTCCTGGTTTCCTTTAGGAGTTTCATGGCTTCAGGTCTTAGATAGAAATCTTTAATACATTTTGAGTTAATTTTTATCAGTGGTATAAGGTCAAGTTTCAGTCTTTTACATGTGGATATTTAACTTTCCCAGCACCTTTCATTGAAGAGTGTCATTTCTCCATTTAATATTGTTGGTTCTCTTGTCAAATATTAGTTGACTGTATGTGCTTACGGTTGTTTGTTTGTTTTTTTTTTTTTTTTTTTGGACTCTTGATTTTGTTCCATTAGTCTGTTTGTCTGTTCTATGTCACTACCATACTATAATGGTATTTAATTATACTTTAATTACTATAGTTTTATTGTATAGCTTGAAATCAGGAAGTGTGCTGCTTCCTGCTTTGTTATTTCTTAGGGTTTCTTTGGCAATTTGGGGTCTATTGTGGTTCTATATAAATGTTAGGAGTGTTTTTTTATTTCGATAAAAAATGCCATTGGAATCTTGATAGAGATTGCATTGATTCTATAGATGGCTTTTGGTAGTATTAACATTTTAACAATATTAATTTTTTCACATTGATTTTTATATGTCGAACCACCCTTGTAATCAGGGTTAAATCCCACTTGATCATGGTATGTAATTCTTTCACTGTTCTATGAATTCTGTGTGCTGTTATTTCATTGAGGATTGTGGCATCAGTATTCCATCAGGGATGTTGCTCTGTGTGTTGTTGTAGTATCTTCATCTGGCTGTCTGTATCAGGGTAATGCTGGCCTCATAAAATAAGTGAGGAAGTGTTTCCTCCTCTTCAGTGTTTTTGAGAATCAGGAGGATTGGTGTTAATTCTTCATATGTTTGTTAGAATTCTGAAATGAAGCCATTTGGTCGTTGGGTTTTCTCTGTTGGTAGTTTTTTGGATACTGATTCAGTCTCTTTAGATTTATTCAGATTTTCTATTTCTTCAGTCTTAGTAGGTTATATGTTTTTAGGAATTTCTGCATTTCTTCTTGGCTATACAATTTATTGGTATACAGTTGTTCATAGGATTCTCTTAAAATCCATATTTCTGTAGTATTGGTTGTAATATTTCATTTCTGACTTTATTATTTGAATAATTTTTTTCTTAGTCTAGCTATGGGGTTGTCAATTTTATTGATAGTTTAAAAACAATTTTTAGTTTGAATTTTTCCTATTTACTATTTTGTTTACCTATGCTCTAATCATTATTATTTCCTTCCTTCTGCCTGCTTTAGGTTTAGTTTGTTCTACTTGTATGTTAGGTTGTTGATTTGTGATTTTGCTTTGTTTTTAAATGTACACATTTAAAACTATAAACTTCTTCCTAGCACTACTTTTGCTGCATCCTATAAGTTTTGGTATTTTGTGTTTTTATTTTCATCGTGTCAAAGTAGTTTCTAATTTCCTTTGTGACTTCTGTTTGACCTGTTGGCTTTCTAAGAGTGTATTGTTTAATTTCCACACATTTGTGGAATTTCCAGTTTTTCTTGAGTTGTTGATTATCTAGTTTCAGTCTGTTGTGATTGGAAAAGATACTGTGTATGATTTCAGTCTTCCTGAATTTGTTAAAACTTGTTTTATGGCTTAACATGTGTTCTATCCTGAAGAATGTTTCATGTGTACTTGAGAAATGTGTATTCTGCTGTTGTTGGGTGGAGTGTTCTGTACATTTCTGTTAGGTTCAGTGCTCTATAGTGTTGTTTAACTCCTCTGGTTCCTTGTTGTTCTGTCTGGTTATTCCATCCATTATTAAAAGTGGGGTATTGAAGTCTCAATATTATTGTGTTGCTGTGTATTTCCTCCTTCAATTCTTTCAAACTTTGCCTCATTAATTTAGGAGTTCTCAGGTTTGGTGCCTAAGTACTTTTTATATCTTTTTGGTGAATTGACCCTTTTATCATTATAATGTCCTTATCTGTCTCTTGTAACAGTTTTTGACTTAAAGTCTATTTTGTCTGATATTAGCATAGATACTACTGTACATTTTTGGTTACCATTTGCATTAAATATCTTTCCGTACTTTCACTTTCAGCCTGTATGTTTCCTTAGATCTAAAGTGTTTCTCTTCTAGACAGCATGTAGTTGGAAGACCAATAACTTTTAATATTAAAAACTGGCTCAGGGAAAGACTCTTTAAAACTGTTAATGTATATCAAAAGTCATTTAATCTCAGATCAGAGAATTGCTGATGACACCCACTTCTTTTCGAAGCACTTATTTTAAGAATCTTCCTCCAGGTAGTTGAGTTGTACCACTATCCAGAGGAGACTGTCGGGAAAGCTGATCAAACATGGAAATGTAAAAAAAAAATTTTTTTTTTTTTATGAAGTCTGAATAGTCAGGTAGATAATGAAAATCAGAAATTCTGGGAAAGGATTTTAGTAAGAACTTTTAACATTTTAACTTTTGGGTTTTCTTTTAGCTGATAAAAGTGAGGGGGGTGTGTTCTTTTTCTCACACATTGGGTTTGTCAAAGTGCTAGTTTCTTAATATTGTATCATTAGTTTTCTACAAATATTTGAATGAATTAAAACCTCTCTTTACAAAGCAAAGCTGTTGCAAATCAGCTATTTTAAAGGTAAGACCCCCATACTCTACCCTGGCATTATTTAGCTGCATTGGAGAGCCATTTTGAACATTGATTTTGGCATTATTTTTTCCTGGAACGCTCAAAGAAGATTAACTGATATAACAATGGCTGTATTGTTATATATTTAGGAATTTCAGATTGCCAAAATGAATTTATAAAAACAGCTTTCTCTGTTTTTTTTATTCTTTATTCCTTAAAAGTTGTCATTGAAGCAAAGTGGTTGTGCCCGATAGTGCTGTACCTTTTGAGTAAAAACCTCTTGAAAAAGTTGATATCTTAGAAATCTCTTTAGTTATTGAATAGATTTTAAATTAAGCCGTTCCTTCTATGACCAAAAGCGCCTTGTTGTAAGTGCTCTGTAAAAAATGTTTTATTAGTGTAGGAACAGTGTTTTAATTCTAGAAAAAATCCAATGACCTTGGATTTCCTTCAGAGGCTCTTGCACATTTGTGGTTAATAATATTTTCTTAGCATTCATCTTTTCTTAACTCAGAGCTGCCTATTTTATAACTGCTTCCTTTTTTTATGGACATTGTGTCTTTATTTTTTTGAGGATCTGAGATATTCTTATTTTAAAGTCTTTGAATGTATAGTTTTTGACCTCATTTTTAGCAGGAGTGTTGTTTATTTTGGTACACCCCTCTCTAACTGGTGTTTTTGTGGTCGTCTCTGCCTTGCCCCTTGTATTTGCTTTTCTTTAGAAGGAAGTCTAATGTTGGAAGCTTTGGGTTCTTATTCTCTAGGAATATTGTGTAAAAGTCAAGAATTAGTCCCTGAACCAGTGGATGACTTGACCTAGTTCATTTTCATATGCCTCTCTGTCTTTTTCATTTGCATTGTTTCAGCCTTGGGTAGCAGTTATAGCTTTTATTGCCTTCTTCTACAAGTGCGAGAGCCTCGTTTCAACCCCAGATTTCATAAAATGAACCTGACTTTTGTTTCCACTATCCATGCTATGAGATGATTTTAGTCTCTATTATTACAGTTAATTTCTTAGGTGTCTCATGCATTAAGATTTTAAAACAAGTAATTTGCTTGTTTCTGCTTTCTTCTTTTACTTCTAGGGGTATAGGAAGTTTAGGAACTACTGTGGTTTATTGGAAAGTATGTATCATCCTAACAGGTAACCATAAGTCTGTTTCCTTATTTTTAAGTGAAGATAATAACTTGAACAATGATTGTGAAGTTGAAATGTTATTATATTTATGAAAGTGTTTTATAAACTGAGAAATATAATCTAAATGTTAGATTTTGTTACTATATTTAAATCTGCTTTTGATTTTCAGATTCTGTTGACTGGTCATGTATGGAAACAGTCATGTCAAGACAATAGTAGAACACAGATTTCTGATACTAATGTGGTCTCTTTGGAAGATACAACTCACTTGGATTCTGGAGATGACCAGGTATATCTGGTGTAACTGACAAACTACCTTTCTTTTGATAAACAGCATGAGAAATTCTTATTTAGCTGTGAAGAATGGAAAGAGGAGAATTAATATTCCATTTCTCTAATAGATCATGGCAACCTTAATTATATGGAACAGCAGTTCTCTTTTATTTATTTATTTTCATGGTCTCAGGTCTACTTTGCATTCTTAAGTATTTTAAAGAGCTTCATATGGGTTATCTATATTGATATTTAGCTTACTAAAAATTAAAACATTTAAAAATATTTATTTTAAAATAAACCCATTATATATTAACATAAATGACATATTTTAAAATGAAAAATGACTTTTTCAAAAAAAATTAGTGCATTATATTACTTTTTTGCATATCTCTTTAATGTTAGGCTTAAAAGAAGACAGTCTATGAGATGATTTTAGTCCCTGTTATTAGAGTTAATTTCTTAGGAATTGCTCCAGAAAAGCAGAACCAGTTGTGTATACATATACACACGCAAATTGGCTCATGTAATTATGGAGGCTGAGAATTCCCAATATCTGTGACTGGAAGATCCAGGAGACCTGATAACATAGTTGCAGTCTGAGTCTGAAGGCCTGAGGACCAAGAATCAGGCCAGCTGATGGTATAAGTTCCATTCTGACCCCATGTTTAAAGGCAGGAAAAGACCAGTGTCCTAGTTCAAAGACCATCAGGCAGAGAGAACATATTTCTTACTCAGCTTTTTGTTCTATTTCGGCCTTTAATGGATTGGATGAGCCCTGCCCAAATTGGGAATGGCAATCTGCTTTACTCAATCTGTGGATCAAATGTTAATCTCATTCAGATACACCTTCACAGACAGGTTCACTATAACATTTAACCAAATATCTCAGCCCCCTGTGATCCAGTCAACACATAAAATTAACCATCACAACTGGGTTCTCATATCTGCTCTGCATTTAGTCCTTTGGGATATATTGTTTTAGTTGAAGTATGTAAAGAAAATCTGGCCTTACATAGAAATGTAGTTAGAAAAGGGAGCCCCACATAAATTTCCTGAAAGGATATCAGTGACCCCCAAGGATCCTTGAATCACACTTTGAGAACTGCTGATCTAGAACATAGTCATAAACTTAGAAGAAATGGAAAACTTGTGAGCTAGTAGGAAAAAAGATGATATATATTTGGAGGAAAAATAAAGCCTTATTCATAATGATTAAATATTTAAGGTAATTATCTAATAACTTTATAAGAAGGTGCCAAACTATTTTCCAAAGTGACTACCATTTTACATACTCCACGATGTATGAGAGTTCTAGTTGCTTTGCATTCTTTTAAGCTCTTGGTATTGTCAGTTTACTTTTTTTTTTTTTTTTTTAAATTTTAGCTATTCTATGTGTATTATAGTGTGTCCTGCTTTTAATATGCATTTTTCTAATGACAAATGATATCGTGCATCTTTTTGTGTGCTTATTTGCTATCCACGTTTCTTTTGTGAAGGATCTGTTTAAATCTTCCCATTTTGGGGGCTGATTTATTCGATTTGTTGAGTTTCAAGAATTCTTTATTCTAAATGCAAGTCCTTTTTCAAATACATGTTTTGCCAGTATTTTCTCCCAGTCTTTGGTTTTCCTTTAAATTTTCCTGTCTGTTTTTCAAAGAGCAAAAGTTTTAATTTTAATGGATTTGTTTATTGATTTTTGTTTTTTTGTAGTTTATACTTTTTGTGTCCTGAGAAATTTTGGCCTAACCCTAGGTCACAAAGATTTTCTCCTATATTTTTTTCTAAAATAGAGTTTCTTACACTTGCTGCTTTTGACTTTTTAAGCCAGATAATTTTTTATTGTGTGTGGCTGTCCTATGTATTGTAAGATGTTTAGCAGCATCCTTGGTCATTTCCCACTAGATATCAGTAATACTCCCCCATGGTTGACCATATTTGTGTGAGTCTGTTTCTGGATTCTCAATTTCATTGATTCATATGTCTTTCCTTGTGCTAGTACCACACTCTTATTAATTACTATACTGTCTTGAAATCAGGTAGTGTGAATTCTCCCACTTTGTTTCTTTTTTAAAAAATGTTTTTTAATGCTATATTCTTTGAATTTCTATATAAATTTATTAGACTCACCTTGTCAATTCCTATTTAAAAAGCCTATTGGAATTTTGATTAAGATTGCCTTAAGTCTATACATTAATTTAGAGAGAATTGACATCTTAATATGTGTTCTCTAACCCACAAACACAACAGTTCTTTCATTTTTAATTAGGTCTTTAATTTCTTCATCAATGTTTTGTTGTCTTCAGTATACCAAACTAACACATATTTTGTTAGGCTTACTTATAAAAGTTTCTCTTTTCTATTCATCACCGGTATTTACAAAAATAAGTGACTTTTTTTTATGTTGACCTCATAGCCTACAACATTGCTGATCTCATTTACTAGTTTTAGTAGTAGCTTTTTTGTAGATTCTTTAGGACTTTCTATGTAGACAGTCATATCAACTGCATTTTTTTCCTTTTTAATATACAGATTACTCTTGAACAATATGGATTTACATTGTGTGGGTTTACTTATATATGGATTTTTTTTAGTAAATACCTGTACTATTTTTGATCTGTGGCTGGAAGTCTTTGGATGTATGTAAGGGCTGACTGTATGCATTGATCTATGTCATTTTATATAGGGATTTAAGCATCTTCAGATTTTATTATCCACGGAGGTCCTGGAACCATTCCCCTGTGGGAACCAAGGGTAGTTAGATTTTTGGGGAGCCAAAAGTCATATGTGGATTTTCAACTGCATGGAGGGTTTGGCTCTCCTAACCCCCGGGTGTTGTTCAAGGGTCAACTGCATGTGCCCTGTATTACTGGCTAGGACCTACTTGTTCTTCCACTTGATCTACTTTATGTTCTGACCTCAACTCTGTGAAAGCAAGCGTCACCAACAACGTTTATATAGCTGAATACAGTGAACATTTTTTTCTGTCTTCATCTCAGGTGCAGTAAATAGCATTTTACACCAGTAACCATTATATAACTTCTTAAAAATCAGTTCTTGGCTTCTCCTGGTTTTCTTTCTACTTCTTTGGCTATTATCTTTGTTTTCTTTGCTGCTTTATCTTCCCCTTTAAACCTTGAAATCTAAGGTTGCAAACTGTGGACCTGAGTATGGCCCAAATGTAGTTTGCAGAAAAAAAATTTTTTTGGCACAGTGTTTTAAAATTTTTGGAACAGAGCACTTTAAAGTGTGTATGCAGTTGCATGGTTGGCCATAAGTCCTATCACTCTTTAATTCCAGGCAGATTTACTCATCTCTGTCACCTCCCTGCCTAGTTTTTGACTTCCGCTTGAAGCATCCTCATGTCATGATTCTCATCTAGATCCAGGGCTTTATATTTAGAAAAATACCAAATTTATATCTCCAACTTTTACTTCTCTCTCAAAGTTTGTATTTATTCAACTGCTTATATGCCATCCCTACTCAAATATGTCAAAATTATTAGGGAGTTGAGGACCTTTTTATATTGACTTAAAAGGTATAACATAAGGAATCATTGTGTGATAGAAGCATAGCAACAAAATATGCAGAAATAAAAGGAACATTGAACATAAATTTTTTAAAAATTTATTATAGGAAGTTATAATAAGAGTATGTTTGCATGGGGGAGAGGAATGATTCAGTAGAGAAGGAAAGAGGGAGAATCACATTTGGGAAGGAAGTTATTGGAAAAAAATCAAGGGGGATGGTAAAGTGGAGAGACTTTTTTAAAATAAAGCCACAGGATGAGGATTTTGGTACATAATGGGCTTGTAGATCTGGTGGTAGGAAGATAAGGAAGTTTTATCTGCTATTCACTTAATGCAGTAGGAGATGAAGTCATCAGTTGAAAATGAGGAAGGAGAACTCAGTAGTCCTGAGAAGGTATAAAGTAGTCATTTTAACAAGTCAGCTTACCAGGAAAATAAGTAGAATTTCCAAGCAATGCTGAGTAACTTTGTGTCACTAATTAAAAGAAAACCAGTCTGGCTGTGTGCTTTCTTCAGCAGTGTGCTGCTGCTTGGATTCAAGTAAGAAGATTCAACCAGAACTGAACTTTTGCCAGGCAAATAGGATAGTGGGATAAAAGAGCAAGAAAGTTAAAGATGTTTGTAGGCAGTGATTATAAAGATGACTATGAAGTCTCAGAGTGGTAAAGAGGGAAATATAGGTAAGAAAGGAATTATGAAAAGTGTAAATGTGATAGGATAGTTATCTTCATGAGGTTAAAGAATTATTGCAGTTGAGCTAGAGTAGTAGAGTAAGTGATCTGTGAAGACACAGGATGGGCAAGAAAACAAATGAATACATCTCATGTCAGTAGGCAAGAATAACTGTGGGAGCACGCTTAAAACCATAGTCAAAGGGGGCTGTGACATGAGCCAGGGAGTAGAGATTTTGTTGTAGTGAGAGTCACAAAATGACTAGAATTCCCCTGCTTTAAAACCCTTTGTTGGCCCACTATCCTCTATAGAATGGGGTGATTGTAAAATAAAAAATTTAAAATTAATCATTCTCATATTTCTTTTATTTTCAAGTATTTATTAAAAATGTAAAAAGCATGTTCCTAATAGCAATTTTATGCTATAGATTTGACTAATTTATCCAGCATAGAAGGGATTGAGATATTTCGGAATGTCAAAGATTTACTATTCCATAATACTATAAACCAGTGGTCCTCAACCTTTTTAGTGCCAGGGACTGGTGCTCCTGTGATAATCTGAGGTCTGATAATCTTAGGTGGAGCAAAGGCAGTGATGCTAGTGCTGGGGAGTGGCTACAAATATAGAGGAAGCTTTGCTCACTCTCCTGCAACACGGCCCAGTTCCTAATAGGCTACAGACCAGTACTGGTCCACAGCCTGGGGGTTGGGGACCACTGCCTTAAACCATAGATAAGTAGCATTAATATTTTAGAATATTTCTATCTTTTTTTCTCTATATATTTATATGACCGATATTAGGTAATAGACAGTTGTATATCTTTTTTAAAACACTTAACTGAAAGAGCATTTGATTAGTATATTTTAAATGCAGAAAATAACTCTTCAAAGATGAGTCTTGTTTGAAAATGTTTGTAAAAATCTTTCTAAATTGTAATACTTATTTTTATGGATTCTGAGTCATTTGGGAATGAAAAACAAATCTATATTCTCTTAAAAACATTTGTATGGGTCCCTAGGAAGACGACTCTAGTAATAGATTACAAAATAATGAAAATGCATTATATATCTAAGCATGTAAGGTTACCATCAATATAATGCCATCTTTTTATATTTTTATTTAAATAAACATAAAATTAAAGGGATTCATTATTTAACCAAAAATTTTAGATAAAACTACAAATGGAGGAAACATGGTAAAGAGAAAAACAACTAAGTTAGAAAATATAATAAAATTGTTAAATTCAGTATAGAAAAAATGAATACATTTCTTGTAAGTCCAGTCAAGAAATAAAAAACTTAATGAAATAGACTTAATATAAACCTATCAAAGCTTATAGAGGTGGACTAGGACTACAAAAGAGGAAATGGAGAAAGTTCTAATAGTATTAGCCATCAAAAAGGTTTCTGGATCTAATAGATTCACTGGTGAAATCATTTATATTTTCAAGGAAAATTGAATTTCCTTGTATAAAATAAATATGGAATAAAGTTGTAGAACATTTTAAAATACTGATTAATCTTATTATGATCCTGTATGAGTGAAAAAGTTAGAGACTGTGCTAGCAAATGTGATTGAGTTCGATCCACCACTACCAAGTAAGAAATGTGAAAATGTTGCAATATAAAGAAATATATTGCTATACTTTACCAGATTTAATTGAAAATGAAAGAAATGAAAAATGTCACAACTAAAACCACAGAAATACAAAAGACCACAAGAGACTACTACGAGCAGTTATATACTAACAAATTGGAAGAGATGGATAAATTTCTAGAAACATAACAACCTACCAAGACTGAATCAAGATGTCATAGAAAATCTGAACAAACCTATTACTAGTGAAAAGTTGAATCAGTAATTAAGAACCTTCTAACAAACAGAAAAGTCCAGGACCAGATGGCTTCATTGGTCTACCAAACCTTCTTAATATCAATCACTCTCAAACTCTTTCAAAAAATAGAAGGGGAGAGAAACTCTTTCAAATTCATTTTATGAGGCAGCAGTACCCTGATACCAAAACCAGACAAAGATGCCACAAGAAGAAAAAATTATAGGCAATGAACAGAGATGCAAAAATCCTCAACAAAATATTAGCAAACCAAATTAAGCAATACATCGAAAGGATCATGCACCATGATCAAGTGGGATTTATTCTAGGAATGCAAGGATGTTTCAACATTCACAAATTTGTCAATGTGATATATACTTCATTAGCAAAATTAAGGATAAAAGTCATACGATCGTCTCAGTAGATGTAGAAAAAGCATTTGACAAAATTCTACATCCATTTATAATAAAAACTGTCAACAAAGCAGGTATAGAGGGAATGTACCTCAACAGTAAAAGCCCATGGCTAGTATCATACTCAATGGTACAAAGCTGAAGGCTTTTCCTCTAAGATCAGGAACACTCACAAGATGCGCGCTCGCCACTTTTATTCAACATAGTTGGAACTCCTAGTCAGGTAGTTAGGCAAGAGAAAGAAATAAAAGGCAACCAAATCAAAAAGGAAGACGTAAAACTGTCTCTGTTCATAGATGACATGATTTATAATGAATAATGTTCTATGAAGTTGTAGGATATAAAATCAATACACAAAAATCAGTTGTGTTTCTATACACTAATAATGTACAATCAGAAAAAGAAAAAGAGAATCCCATTTACAATTATATCAAAAAGAATCAAATATCTAGGAAGAAATGTAACCAAGTAGGTGAAAGATCTGTATACTGAAAACTATAAGACATTGATGAAAGAAGTTGAAGAAGACACACAAAAAAATGGAAAGATATTCCATGCTCATGAATTGGAAGAATCAATGTTAAAATGTCCATACTATTTAAAGCAATCTGCAGATTCACTGCAGTCCCTGTCAATTCCAATGGCATTTTTCACAGAAATGAACAAAAAAAATCTCCAAATTTGTATGGAACTACAGAAGACTAATTGGAAAAGCAGTCTTGAGAAAGAACAAAGCTGGAAGCATCGTGCTTCCTGATTTCAAACTATATTTCAAAGTTATAATAATCAGACAGTATGGTATTCGCATAAAAACAGACACATAGATCAGTGGAACAGAACAGAGAGCCCAGAAATAAACCCATGCATACATGGTCAATTTACAACAAAGGAGCCAAGAATATACAATAGGAAAAGGACAGTCTCTTCAATAGTGTTAGAAAAGCAGGACAGCCACATGCAAAAGAATGAAATTGAACCATTGTCTTATACTGTACATAAAAATTAACTCAAAATGGGTTAAAGATTTTAAGGTAAGACCTGAAACTATATAACTCCTAGAAGAAAACATAGGCAGTAAGCCCTTTGACATAGACCTTGGCTATGATTTTTTTAATCTGACATCAAAAGCAAAAGCAACAAAAGAAAAAAAATGAGTGTGACTACATTAAACTGGAAAGCTTCTCTACAGCAAAAGAAACCCAAGAAAACCAGTGGAAAGAATATTTGCAAGTTGAATATCTGAAAAAGGCTTAATATCCAAAATATATAAATAACTCATATATAACTCAATAGGAAAAACCAAATAATCTACTTAGAAAATGGGCAGATGGTCTGAATAGACATTTTTCCAAAGGCATACAGATGGCCAACAGGTACATGAAAAGATAGCATCATTAATCGTCAGGGAAAAATGAAAATCAAAACCATAATGAGATACTATCTCAGACCTGTTTGAATAGCTATTATCAAAAAGACAAGAAATAATAAGTATTGGTAAGGATGCAGAGAAAAGGAAATCCTTGTACCCTCTTGGTGGAAATGTAAATTGGTACAGTTACTATGGAAAACAATATGGAGATTCCTCTAAAAATTAAAAATAAAATTACCATATGATCCAGCAATTTCTCTTCTGGGTATTTATCCAAAGAAAATGAAAATACTAACTTGAAGATATATGTACCCCCATTTTCACTGCAGTTTTATTTACTATAGTCAAGATGTGCAAACAACCTAAGTGTCTATTGTTGGACGAATGGATAAAGAAAATGTTGTATATGTTATACAAAGGACAAAATCTTGCAATTAGTGACAACATGGATGGATCTTGAGGACATTATGCTAAGTGAAATAAGTGGGACACAGAAAGACAAATACTGTATGATCTCTCTCATATGTGGACTCTAAAACAATAACAAAAAACGAAGCCCTAGATACAGAGAACAGATGGGTGATTCCAGGGGGTGGGAGAAATGGGTGAACTGTTTTTTCTTTCAGTTTAAATAAGTTGAATAAAAATTTTTTTAAAAAGAAAAAATGCTGGTTAATCTTATGACTATATATGACTGAAAATGTTAAAGACTGTGATATTGAATATGATTAAAAGTCTAACCTACCACTATCAAATAAGAAATCAGAAGATGTTGCAATATAAAGACATCTATTGCTATACTTCGAGATTTAATTGGGAAAAAAAGATGTTATGTAGTTTGATCAAATGTAGTGCTCGTCCTAGTCACATTAATTCAATGTGAAAATAAAAGAATACTTTCATAGCATGATAGGAATCATTTTCTTAATTATTAAGTAATACCAAATTTAGAAAGAAAATGCCTTATAAAAAAATGTTATCATCAGTATTTAGTTCAACTTTAATTTAACATTGCTACTTAGTGTAGTCTGTGGATTAGTGCCAGTTCATTAATTTCTTGTTACTGGTCTCTAAAGAGATAAGTACAAGAATTGAGCGGAAATATTTAGAAACTTTATAGCATTTTGACAGAGTGGTTTTATGAACTAGAAATGAGACATTTAGGCTTGTGTTTTATATTTGGGCTTATATATCTTTTAAATTTCATTTTTCTAGTTAGCTTGTCATTTTTATTTATGTATTTTAATTTACTTGTTATTTTTTATTAGTATTTTAATAAAATGTCTTTCTGTGATGAATTAGATATAGGAAAAACTGATGCTTCCCATAAGTATTTTTAGAAGCATTGCTGTGAATCATGCCACTAATGTAAGAGTAAGCATTTCAAAGAGACAAATGTGTCACTCACTATTCATGGATATGATAATGTTACATATTGAAAGGAGCAAAGAGTCCACTAGAAAGTAGTATAGCTAATAAGAATTAAGTATAGTGGTCACATGTAGAGAATATTGTAGCTTTAAGTGTGGAATTTTTTTTTTTTTTTTAGTTTTATTGTAATTGTAAGATTTCACGTAGAACCAAATTTATTGTTTTAATGATGAGAACTGTTAAAGAATGGGTAGTAATGGGAAGGTCAAATATATAGTTAACATTGTGAAAAACAGAACAGCTTTCCTTTTATAAACTTTGATGAGAATGTCATCAAATAGGAAGCTATATGATGCATGAGTGGACATTTTAATCTAAATGTTAATGTATGTTAATTCAGTTAATAACTTAGCATATTTTCCTTCAAAATTATTGTTTTAGAGAACAGAATCTTGGCATTTTCTTCCTCAAGAAATCGACTCTTCTCACACCTTGGATACAACTCAGACCAGGTTTAATGTGAGAAAGGAAGGGACAGAAGTGACAGACTCCCCCTCTGTGGAGGAAGGTATATTGACCCAATCAGAAAATCAAGTAAAGGAGCCCAACAGAGATCTCTTATGTTCTCCATTGCTAGGTAATGCCTCTTTTTTTTTTTTTTTTAAAAAAAAAAAAACTAGTAGTAATACTTCACATTTATGGAACACTTTTGGGGAACTGCAAGTCCTGCATCTAAATCCTTTCTTGAGTTGAGCTCTGTAGAGCCATACTCACAGGTATTAGCTTATTTCTAGTTTTCCACACAGGCCAGCTGATGTAGTTATGTTAAATGTGCACTTGCCCTTCATTTAATCATATTCTATTGCTCATGGAAGGCAGAAAGGTGATGATTTCCTCTCTAGTGGATATGCATCCTCCGTCCTGATTTTGTGGAGGTTTTACTTGGGGTAAACCATATATCTTTTGACTACTCAGCAGTGGAGACTCCATGATCCTTAAAATACAAATAAAAAACAAATGTTAATGCTTACCTCATTAGATTCTTAGAATTAGTTAAGGTATATGTTATTATTCTCAGTTTTCAGACCCAAAAATTGAGATAAAGAGGTTAAATGACTTGTCTGAGGTAGATCTTAGTGCTTTCCTCTGCTTAGTATAGAACTGATTTATTAGCTCTTTATAAAAGGTAAAGTTTAAATACGTTTCAAATCATCAAAGTAGGAGATAGAATTGTACTGTTAACACTTTGGATCATTGCTGGTATGTAAGAATGCTAAACCAATATGATAATTGAAATTTTTTCATATCTGAATTATAATTTGGACAAATATTTTATTTTTCCTTCAGATTTTTTCCCCCAAATATTTGAAAAACAAAAACAAAACACATTTTAGAATTAGCTTTTGTCAGAGGAATAGGATTCAGCCATGAGGTTGTTTTGTCAGAATATTTTAGGGGAGCATGAATAGGAATTCTAATTATTTTCAAATGTAACCTAATGCTATCCAAATCAAAATATCAGTGCAATGTATTCTGTGATGTGGATCATCAGAGTCAGTTTTAGTTTCACATTTTAAGAAAGTTGTTGACAACATTAATATTCTTTTGTGAGAGGAGATACTTTGCTCTGATCAAGTATTTAAAGGGCTGTCATGCTAAAGAGAGAGCAACTTATTTTCATTTATTCATTTATTTAACAGATACCTAAGTACCTTTTCTGTGTTTGATGTTAGGGATATATAGATGAAAGCTACATCATCTTTTGGGAAGACAAGCCAGTAAAAAGAAAATGACAGTACCATATATAAGTATTTTAATGGTTTATAGCAGGATGTGCAAACTGCAGACCATGGGCCAAAGCCTGATTTTATATGAGCTAAGAATGGGTTTTGCATTTTTAAAAGATTGTAAAAACCAAAAAAAAGTATATGTGACTGAGACCATATATGACCAAGAAAGCCTAAAATATTTACTACCTGGCCTTTTATAAAAAAACTGTTTTCTAATTCCTAGTTTAGAGGTTAAAATGAGAATACATAACTTAATAGAGAGGCTATTTTAAAGTCGATATAAGAAAGAACTTTCTAATAGAGTCATTTAGTAGTGGAAAGGCTATATACCAACAAAAAAAAGTGAACTTATGTCATGGCAAACTATCAAGTAAATTTCTCTAGTAATAGAATTTTAGCATTGGGTAGGAGAGCGTGTACATTTGAGCTTCTCAAATGTTTTCTAATGTAAAGCTTTTTAACGCCAGCTTCTCATTTACTACAGATAAAACAGAATATTTTTAATTATTAGAACAGATCCCTGGATCTGATGAGCCAGGAAATTTCATCATTGCTGTGTTCATTCATGTTATGCATAAATATAGTCATTGCGGGGTATATTAGTCTCAGTAGTGGCAAATGTCATAATGAAAACCGGTGCTGGAAAGGTTAGTTCTCTAAAAAAACAGTGATCCAAGCTATCAACAGTATCTATATATGAGGAAATGCCGGCTCTTTGTTGAAAAACCTTAATGATTCTTAGAGGGGTGACTTATCAAGCTTATAAAATGAAGGTTGTGAAGTTTTAAGACTGAGTCTCTAAGCCAAGGCCAAAGAGGAACCATACCAATTGGTCCTTGGTGGAATAGGTTTCTCATTTTTAATTCATTCAGTAAATAAATAATAATAATTCTATTTTGAGTGCCTACTAAGCGAAGCAGTTACTTTGCTAGGCACTAAGATACAGCTGTGAATAAAGCAGACATGGAGTTTTTAATCTAGGTGGGAAGCAGACAGACCAAAGATTAAAACAAAAATGTCATGGTTATGATAGGGAAGGTGTACAGTGTTATAGGTATTCTGAAACCAAGAAAGTAAATTGTAGCAACAGTAGTACATTCATATTGAAAGAACCATTTAGTTTTAGCAAAATATCACCTATCTAGTTGAATTAATATTAAATAGGATGCTGTTGGTTGTATAGTTTTGTTTCTATTAATATTTAATTTTTTGTTTTGTAGTTGTATAAATCTTATAAGTAATAAGGAGTTTATACCTAGTCTGTACGTATTTAAGGGCATTATAATAAGAATTATTTAAGTTGGCATTCAGGAATTAAGAATATTTTTCCTTTAAATCTGCAGTTCTCAAACTTTTTCGTCACAGGACTACTTTTCACACTTTAAAGTTACTGAAGACTCTAAAGACATTTTGTTTAATGTGGGTTATTGGTGTTGTCCTATAGTAGAAATTAAAACTCACCATTTTATAAAAGATTATTAACTCATTAAACATAACTTCATTGTATTTATCATAAATTATATAGCTTTTTAGAAAAACATATTACAAAACAAAATATTTAGAAGAGTAACATTCTTTTACTTAAAAAACTCTGACATCTGACTTAATAGAAAACAAGTAGTTTCTGATACCTGCTTCTGCATTCAATATCATACATGGTGTTGCTTCTGGAAAATTCTAGTATACCCTTGTGAGAGAATGAGTAAGGCACATGATATTTTAATATTATTTTGAGTATAGTTGGGACCCTCGGCACCTCCTAAGAATGTCTTAGGGATTCCCAGGAGCCTGTGGACCACACTTTGATATAAGACGGAAAAAATCACTCATATGGCTAAAAGCACTTGCTAAAAAGTTAATGTTTAGGTTCAGATCTTACTCTGGCACTTAGGCTATTGAATATAGACAAATTATTTAATATTCCTTAAGTTTTGTAGTCATGTTTCCTCTCCTATAAAATGGATTTAATAATACCCACCCATCCTTCAAGATTGTCATGGGATTGAATGAAATATTATATGTTTAGGGCTTGGACCTAGTCAGGCTATCAGTAAATGGTAGTTGCTGCTGCTCATTAGTATGTTAGCATATTAAAGCTTGTAGAAACTTCCAGATGGTGGCATATTTAGGTTCTTTAAAGTATTACGTGGCTGAACTAAACAGTTAATTTTCAGCATTCTCAATATTTTCATATTTGAAACTTTGCAGTCATACAAGACAGTTTTGCTTCTCCTGATTTGCCTTTGCTGACATGTTTGACACAAGATCAAGAGTTTGGGCCTGATTCCTTATTTCATGAAAGTGAACTAGATTTTGCACCTCTGAGGTAGGATGGTTTATTTTTTTTGTTTGCGTGTAACCTTTTCTACTCTTCCTTTTCTTGTTCTTGGTTGTTACTAATAGTAATGACTTCAGCCTAAGGTGAGACTTTGGGATGGAGGTTAGATAATCTCAGAACACACTCTGATGGTAGCAAAGGCCTAAGTTAAGACATGATGCATATCAATCTGTCATAGTAATATATATGTAAAAATGAGCCAACTTACTATAGTTTATTTTAAAATAATTTCTAATATATTCTAGCATTTCTGGTATATTTTAATTTAGAAGGCACACCGGATTTTTCCTTTTTATATATCTCTCCTTTTGCGTCCCATCAGCCCACCCCCATTTTGTAAAAAACATTTATTTCATAGTCACTTAACTTGTTTGGCACTCTCTTTTTGGTCAGCTGATATTGAATGAGCCGAGGTATCTTTCCTTACCTTATAAGAGGTGTGAATATGAAGTAATAAGATTTTTTTAACAGATGAAGTCCAAATTAATAGTTATTTCAAACTAATACCCTTAGAATAGTCATATGGGAGACAAGTCTGGAATTCTCTCCAACATTTGAAATTATCCAAAAATGTTTTACTTTAGAACTAAAAAAAAAAAGAAACCTTATATTTAAAACTACAGATGTTTACCTAGTAAAAATCTCTGCCCTTCTGCTTTGTATTACTTTATCATTTTAAAATTACTCTTATGACGAATGTTTTGTATGTTGAAGTTACTGTTTTATTTTTGGGAGTAGATCACTTCTTACGTGGTTTTCAAGAGCATAATAAATTTTAAAAAAGCATAATAAATGACTAAGAAAAGAATTAATGCAGGTTAAATGGATTTTAAATTATGGTAGGTCATAAACATTTTAATTAGTAAAGTTTGAATTTTTCTTTAAAGAATAATTTTTTTTGGTCAGTATGAAAATATTTATGTTTTTTGGCAATATTGTTTTAGGAGAAGCCTGAGAAAATACCAGTCATAGGATGGTGGTTCACCTTTGTTTATAAACAATTTGCCTTGTTTAGTCATTAGTCACCTTAAAGGAATTTGAAATTAGAAGTTTGTTTTTATTAGAACACGCTTTTCAAATAACCCTGATATCAGTGACATAACAGCTTAAGTGTTTTTTCATGTTAAAAAAATAATTTTTTAAAATGTGTAATTTACTTATTTTTAACTGTATATTTTCAGGGGAATTCCTGGTAAGTCTGAAGATACCGAGTGGTTTTCTCGACCGTCTGAAGTTAGTGAAGCTTTATTCCAGGCAGCCTCGGAAGTAGCTTCAGATTTAGGTAACAGTCGCTTTAGTGTATCTCAGCACCCACTTATAGGTAGTTCAGCTGTAGAGTCTCAGGGCTCTTTTTTACCTCCTGAACAAGGAACCAAAGAGGAGACTATTTCATCTGATACAGTTGATGAACTGAAAACCCCCAAAGACTCTGATAGTTATGCTCTTTGTTCATATATGTCATGGAAGACACAAGAAGTTACACAGGAGCCAGAAACTGATTTAGCTGATAAAGATCAAGTTTCCTTTTCAACTTCATCTGATACAAGTGATGAATACGTAACTCCTAAAGAAAGTGACACTTTTGTTGCTGCTTGTTCGTATGTGCAGTATTGGAAACAGGAATTTTTACAGCAATCAGAAAACTATTTAACCAGAGAGGACCATGATCCTTGTTCAGATTCATCTGACACAACTGATAAAAATAAAATTCCTGAGGGAAGTGACAGTTTTAGCACCCCTATTTCATGTATGCCATGGAGCAAACAGAGAGTTTCATATCATCCAGGAACATGTTTAATCGGTAAGGACCGTGTTTTTTTTCCGCGTGAAGTTGGTCCTCATTTTAATAATAAAATGTCATGTTCTTTCTTGTATTGCTTGTTGGAAAAAAAAATGTCTGATAGTCATTACTTTGAAAGTGTTTATTTAAGGCCTCCAGCTGAGAATGAGGTGAAACAAAAGATGGATTCTTTGGAAGATTATGAAAGAAATGAAGAAGGTCTGGGGAAAGAATTTTCTCAATGTTTTGAGCTAAAGGAGAATAGCAGTACTTTAGTATTTTCAGAGGCGCATCCCACATCTTCAGAAATACAGTGTGTTGAGAATGTTGTTGTTCCTGATAATTCTGTAAAAGTTTCAGAAACACAAATACTCTCCAGGGGACATGAAGCCTCTACTGTAGAGGCTTCTGGTGGTCTTCTTCAGACTGTTAGATCCAACTTGGATGAGACAACAGAACAACTGTATTTTCGAGAGGAAAGAAACCAAAAGACAAGTTCTGCTTTTGGTGGGAAAAATGTTGATGCTACTGGTCATGTAGCCTTTGAAGCAGTTATTGCCTCTATTGAACCTTCCAAGAAAGAGAGGATAGTAAATGAAATCCAAACTGACATCAATAAATCTTTTACAAACGACAGCCAACAAAGTGAACCAAAAAATTCAGAGCTTTCCCTATTAAGTTGTAATGATAAAACCTCTTTATTTGGTAAGGCTAGTCATCCACGCTGCCACTCTACTCCTGGGGTGTTTGAACCAGCAGCTTCAAAATCATTGTTGCATAAAAAAGATGATATTAGCTCCCTGTACTGGCATCCTAATTTAAAATCACTCCCCAGTGCTCCTCAGGAAATGTTCATTAAGCCACCTTCTTTTATTCCAGAGCCTAAGTCATCTGCTTCTTTAAGTGAAAAATCTCACAGCCAGGTTGCTGGTCTTTGCAAAACGCAGTCAGCTTTGTTTCAGTGTGATATGGACAGTGAACCATTTCTTCCTATTGGGAAGATAAAGTCTGTTCCTGCTCTTGACCTTGCAAAGAGGGTAGAATCTTCAGACATTATTTATCCACTGAAAGTATCAACTTCGGATTTTTTACAAGATTTAAAGCAGCAACCCTTTGAAGAAGTTGCAAATTCCTCAGACTATATTTTGGGTAAGAATGTAAATTCTAGTCATGTCATTGAAGGTCCATCTGCAGCTGTAGAAAGTAGCTTTTCAGCAAACTTGGCATATGATGCAAAGTCATAAGGTGCTTTACCAATGACTAGCAATGCATCATTAATTGCAGTTGGCCAAGAGAAATTTCTGAAAGCTGATCTAGGCCTAGGTGAAATTCCTCGGCCTATGGGAGCCAAGTCCAGTTTTACGATACATACAATTATGCAAAATGACTCCTATTTTGTAGAAGGCCTCCAGGGGAAGGCTGAATCTGACATCTTTACTCTGGGTGATGATACTGAATGCTGTAGCCTAGATGAAAATGCTGTTGTGTGCAGTAAAAGAGTTGCCGAACTACAAAGAGAGGTGAGACATAGTAAACTGATAGTTGGGGGAAACATGGTCTTTTCCTGTATTGTTTCAGGAAATGGTATTGTTATTTGTTTTTATTTTACCTAACTATTTCCCAGGTATGTGACCAAAGTGACTTGACTGATGAGTGCATTGAGCTAGCAGGCTTCGAAAATTTGCTTGATGATCTAGATATTTGTGACAGCTCCCTGCAGTGGCAGTCTGATTTACATCTACCATCCAAAGAAGAGAGCAGTTTTGAAGAGCTTGTAAGTTTTTCCATTTGACATTTCTAATGGGATAGAGAGAGAAATGTTTTAGTTGAAAAATGGGGATAAGAGTACCCATTTCTATCTTCTAATACCTATTTGTGACCTGTAATCTGGTCTTCATATGATATGTAGAATTAAGATCCATTAATTTGTTAGAGATTGGCATAAAAGAAATATTTGTGTTTTGTAGACTGTAAGACTTAGCGTGTTCAGTGGTGTTTTGGAAAAGGCCATCCTTTGGAGCTCCCAGATCTTTCATCTTGAGGCATCCCAACTCTTGCAAGTTGTGCCAGCAAGAACCTTTGGGACAGTGTTAAGATTAGATTAATTCATGGAAGCTTTGATTTGTGCTTTTCTCCCCCCTCTTGCCTTCAACGTACAAGCCTTGGAATAGGCCCTGGAAGTATTCAAGTATTTCTTCTTAGAAGCTCATTAAAGATTTGACTTCAGAGGTATTTTGAAAATGATAAGAACTGTGTTTCCTAGGAAAGGATACTGAGGTGCTTAATGTTCAAACTAGTCAGTGTTCCCAAAGAAAACTACCCTCTTCCTAAATGAGCACTATACTAACGTATTATTACATTCCCTTTCTCTCTCTATTTTATCATCATCATTGTGTGTGTGTACTAGAAAATTATAACTTTGGGGCGTTAGAAAAATTCTTTGTCAACCTTTCTTTTATACAAGACTTTATTTTCCTGAATCCTTGAGTCCCTTGGCTTTAATGTTCCTCTGGTTCCATTGCCCATTCTCTTTTGTCTGATACTATAAGTTCCAACCTGGGTCCCACTTCTTTATAATATATCCTTATATCCTATTAGTCATTGAATACAGTTAGATAATATATATGGTATACTTAATGTTACTTTCCTTTTCCTGTTTTCCCATGTATAAGATTAGTATGTTATTGGAAAACGACTTTGGGTTGAAACCATATTTAGACTTTTATGTTAAGACAGTTGGCAAGAGGAAATGAATAAAGATATTTTGATGAACTTTTCCTTTTATTTATAATTTGTTGAATTTGAAAAGAATTTTAATATAGAGAATTGTTAGGTTTTATTATCTTCAACATTCTAAAGTAGGCCTTGTTCGGTTCTAATATTCAATCTAATAACAGTAGGGATGAAAATGATAGCTAACACTCTGTTAAAATACAATGCTAAGTTTTACTTACATCAGTTTGTTTAGTCGTTTCATCAATCCTGTCAGGTAGGATTATTATCATCCCCATTTTACAATTAATGCTTAGAGGGTTAGGGAACTTGCTTGTGATCATTTAGCAAGTAGGGAACTAGTATTTGAAACTAACCTTATCTGTGTACTTAAGCACTATGCCATAAACTGCCTCCCTGTTTAGCTATTCTTTTTGTTTGTTTGTTTCAAGTATACAATACATTGGTTATACCTTTAAATAGGTTATGAAATGATCCCCCTGATTATTCTGTCTTCCCTCTGGCTCTACACATAGCCATTACCTTACTACTGTCTGCATTCCCTATGCCGTGCTTCCCATTCCCATGACCCTCTCTCAACTACTAATTTGTATTTAGCTATTCTTTAGTGAAACCAAGGCTAAGCTTTGGAATTTTTTGGCAAGAATGAAGGTTTTGAAGTCAACTTCAATAAGAGTGACAAAATATGATCAATTTTAAACTTAGAGTTTCCAATATTTTTTATAGTACTACTTTTGTAATTTGCATCAACTTTTTCATATAAATAGACTATATTTAAAGAAATGAAGATATATATTCAGTTAATAATGACATGCTGAGATTAACTCTGACCACATTCCAAATTTTATTTGCCGTTAACTATAGCCTTAAGTATATTTTTTTCAGTCTAGGGAGGATGCTGTTCCTTGTGTTCTTCATTCTTAGCTCTATTCTATGGTCTGGGAGTTACATAATGCCAGTATTAGGGAAGCAAGGAGTCAGATATGGTACTAATCTTCCCATGTGCCTCAGCTTGCTCTCAGAGGGCTTGAAATGCCTTGATTTCTTCTATGTAGCATTTATATAGTGACTGGCTGATACTTCTTTTCACTTCACTGAAACTAGACTACTAGACACTCACCAGTGGTTTCCTATTCTTTATCATTATTTTCTTTCTTTCTTGTTTCTAGTAGCAGCATATTACATTCTTTTAGCCTCTGTGATAAAATACTGTTTCAGTATCCCTTATTTTGGTCATGTAACTCTAAATATTAATTGTTTACTCCTTAGATTTATTTTCTCTTTGTTTAGTTGCCTTCCCCCCGCTCCCCGCCCCTGACCTATTTTCCTTTCAAGTTTTAAATGCTTTTCTCTGTGTGGATGGTTAATATCTCTGGTTTTAGACCCTAATAGACCTATATGCTGTCATGCATGAAATTTTCTTGTGAACATTCCAATCACCTCAAATTCAACTTGCTTATATCAAAATAACATCTTTTTCCTAAAATCAGACTGACTTGTAGATTTCCTCAGTTCTTTAGAGGTGTAAGCATTTCTTGGTTTCTTTGTTCACAGTTTTTAATTCTTCATATTGATTAAAACTGGGAGATGAACCAATCTTTGATTTTTTTCCCCCCTCTGATTCCTTCCATTTTCAGTTAGTAATGAAGATCTGCTGATCTCTTAAATAAATACTTCTCATCTTTTTCATTCTACATTTTCTTTTGTTTTACCTACTCTATCTTTGTATGTATTTTGAAGCTTTAATATAATGAAATTTTATTGAAATCAAGATTGGAATGGAACTGTTTTCTTCAAATTAAACACACATATGCACACACTTAAGTATCATATATATGATATTATATGTTAATGAGCTATACTTCAAAAAAATCTCCTTTAGGAGTGGAAGAATTGAAAACCAAGAACTTTGTGCTATGTTTAGAGCAGGGTTCCTCTGCACTGTTGTCACTTATGGTTAGATAAATTCTTTGTCACGTGGGGCTGTTCTGTGCATTTTAGGATGTTTAGCAACATCTCTGGCTTCTACTCACTAGATGCCAGTAGCATCTTCCCTAAAGTTATGACAGTGAAAAATGTCTCCAGGCCTTGCCAGGTGTTCCTTGGTAAGAGAGAGGTGGGTGGATGCAGAATCTCCCTCAATTAAGAATCACTGGTCTGGAGAAACCTATATGGGCAGGAGTAGTAGAATATTTATTTCCATACCCTACCAGCTTCCTAAGAATGTTCATTACTTCATATTGAAAAAACCTTGATAAAGAGGGTAGAAAAATTCATGCTTATGTACATATAATTTTAGACTCCCTCCTGAGAGGTCATCACTGAATAACCTTTTTAGGAAAATAAAGAAACCTAAAACTGAGAAGTTGTGTACGTTTATGTTCTAACATCACCAATAATGGTTTCTAATTTCTTTCCTATCAAGGACTTTTTGGGATCTGATGAAACTTTAGAAACTTCTTTTTTAGCATTTAACCTTTACTTCACTATCAGTTTATATTTCCTGCTACTTTAGTTTCAAGAAATTTGAGGACTTTTGTTTTTTGGTAACTGATCAGGTTTTTGATGCTTTTATTTTTCTTCGAAACATTTGTGGATTTCTTGAAAATATTCCTGTTATTTTCTCTTTCCTTTCCACAATATACCTCTCCTCAAAAATAAACAAATAAAATCCTTGTACCATAGTTCAAATCCTGCAGTGATCATATTATTATAAGGAGCAAACTCTGAGTAACAGAACACGCCTAGGCCCCCTGTGTATAATATTCAATACAGGCAGACTTCCAGACCCTCAGAATAATTTGTAGAGCCTTCTTGGAATTGACCAAGCAAGATATGACCTGTATATGACTTCAGGAGGATTGAGAATATAATCTTAAGGAACTACTATAACTGCTTAGTATTTATTTTCATAAAAATTAGCTTTGTTTTTTAGCTGATGAACTCTAAAATTAATCTTATTTTTTTCATTTTTCATCTTTCATAGGTAGGTCATTCTAATATGGACATTAATCAGTCTTTTTCATCTGCATTGCCTCCATTTGTTCCTCATGAGCCAACCAGAGAGTTTGAATATCACTCTTCAGATCTCAGAATGTTGAGGGTATCTCCTGAGATTATGCCAGAGACTTTTATACATTTAGCAGGTACGTAGAGAAGGAGGTATTAAGTGTCCTTATGGCTAGCTTGTTAAAAATATCTTGCTGTGGCTAATTTATTTTTGAATTCCTGCAATAATGTTAACTTTGGATTAGGTATACTTATAAATGCCCAGGTCTTCTATAAGATGAATCATTTGATTTTTCATTGCATTCTTCATGACAGTATTTAGAACTGAATTACATGGAGGAGTCAGCTTGTGTCGATATTCCTTCCTGTGACTCAAAGGGAAATATAAATTAATTGAATACAAGAGGGTGAGAGTGGATGCAAATGAGTTTGTAGAGAGGAAATTGAGAGCTCAGTATTGTGGTAGAAAGCAAGATCATCTGCTGTGGGAGGTGGGGACTGGTGGAGGTGTTAGGGGGTTAGAGGAGGGAAGCTTGATGAAGGCTCAGAATTTATGTTGAAGTGAATAGGGGATGGAGCTAACCACGGACAAGCAAAAGGATTGGCTGAGAAGTTATCTTAGGTTGGAGATGATTTTATAATGTTGTTGGCCTGTATAGCATCTCTGATTTTTCTTTACTAAAACTCAGAAATGAAGATCAATTACAGGATTGATCTGTGGTTGAGGGATTTGTTGAGTGGGTAGGTGTGGTGGAAGGATAGCAGTGGAAAGAAATCAGTGAGAGTTGATTAGCTATTGTTTTCAGTCTGCATAGGGAAAG